AGACAGTTTGAGTAACAACACAGGCACACAGTCCACATTATGCACTGTCCCTGATGAACCCCTGAGAAAGACCAGGGCTTAGCACCCAGCGGACAGTACATGCTGTTTGTTGAGTGGAACCACTGGAAGCAGGTGCCACGGGTGAGCTGGAGTCTCCCGAAGTGAGAAGACATGTCTTCCCACGGCACTTGACCCACAGATCCATCTTTGGTTTGTAGTTTCAGAGAGTCCTCCCTCTTTGTCCTTCCAGAAAAGGGTTTTCCTTCTACAGTTGCTTGTTTGTAGAGCCGCCTCTACTTTTCTGGCTCGAAAACAGTCATTATGCCTGTTCTTAGTTGGGATCTCACTTGTTCGCTCTTGGCCCTCAAGGTAGGCTACACCGAGGTGGTGCCAATGGCAACTGTTGAATGAGGACATAAGGGAAGGAAGAAGGGTGCCATTTTGTTGTACCCCTGGTTTCACTTAAATAGTGGTCACTTTTCTTTTCTCAGTCATAGAAGTTGTTTATTATTCTTTCAAAGTTATTCTAACTGAAGTAATACGGTACTTTAGTAAGTATTTTGATTAAAGTAATACAGGTGCATGGCTGAAAAAACTCTGAAGCCTTATTATAGATGATAAATGGATCATAAATCCCCTTCTCACTTCCTCTCTCTTCATTTGTTAATGCAGTTAAGTCACAACTTTTGGTTTAATTAATTAGTGATGTTTGTATTATACCTTTTCTTTTTGTATCTTGATGGATTTTGTACATTAGGAATAATATTCCCTGCAGAACCAGCAGAGCTTTCGAAAGCAGCAGCTAACATATATTGAGTATTTACTATAGACAAGGCACTGTTTTCATGTATTAATTCGTGTGACTCTGTGTGTGAGATTAGGTACTGTAGATATTCCCAATTTACCAATGAAGAAATCAGGGCACAGAAAAGATGAGTAACTTGCCCAGGGTTGTATGGCTAGGCATTCCAGCTCTAGAAGCCAAGCTTTTAGCCATTATGAATACTTGCTTCTTGAAAACTCCTACCAAGTAAGGAAACAAAGATCTTAAGCAAGAATTTGAAGTTGTACCGGGATTTTAAGGCTCAAATTTAGTTAGCTTGGGAGACAGGCTATTCAATGGGAGAAACCCCAGAAGAACAAGTGTATGCTATAAGGTTAGTATGGTTGTTTTCTTTCCAATGGCTTATGTTTATAAATACTTCTTGCAATATCTTTCCCAAGCTCTCATGTTCTCCTGAGCATATCATAATTGTCTACCAGAGAATCTTCATGCAAATTCTGAGCAATCCAGAGCATTCAGTTAAGATGCCCTGATGTTGGACATTCTTAATATGAGGACATTAACACGGACATTAACACAGAATTTTTGAAATTGGAACAGTCCTGGAAAACAAATTTATTACCACATATGTGTCATTAATCAAAAGAAGACTGGGAAAGAAGGTATGAAAGCAGATGCAAATTTCACCATTTTAGCAAACAACTCTAAGATCCCTTCTTGCTAGAGAGAATAGCATATAAGGCATTCTGCCTTTCTTCCTTCCCCATCTAATGTATACATCTGTGAAAACTGTTAACTTTTTTTTTTTTAAATAATTCTGGCATTATAAACTCACTCCAGCACTTCTCTCCATCTAACAGCTTCATCTGAAAGCCCGTTGCCTTGATTATAAAGGTAACCTTATGACAAAACTTGAGAGAATTAGGATAGGGCCAGTGAGTTGCTGATGATGGAAGAATTGACAGGATCCAGAAAATGGGGTGAGTCCATACTGCCTAAAGCATGTGCAGCCGACTGATCCCTTCCTAGCTCTAAAAGCTCTAATACTGTACACACACACACACACACACACACTATATATATATATATATATATATATATATATATATATATATATACTGTACATCAAAATGAAGCCCACAGATTTGGTGGGAAACTGTATCTTCATGCCAGAGCCATCGCAAAAACAATCCGGCCCCTCTCTGATGTAGGATGGGGAATAAATGCTAAAAATATCACCAATGCATTGCTTTTACCGCAGAATTATTTTGACTAGCACAGCTTGTGACTGTTTACATAGAGAGAAGGGGGAGCGGGTTCGGAACGGGGTGTCAGCCTCCTGTTCCTGATGTGCATTTTAATAGGCCACCTGACAAGATCAACAGGAAGAAAAGAAAAATTGTGAACAGGTGTGAGGGAGCCAGAGGAAGATGGTCCTGCCTCTCCCTCCTCTTAATCAAGTTGGCACATTGTTCTGATGCCAGGACGCTCTGGCTTCTACCGGTGGCTGTGCTAATTGCCTCAAGTGTGGGGCTTGATGAAGGGGGCCCAGAGTCCCACACTGGCTCCCCTGTGCCTTAAACAAAGGAAAACGGGATTTGTGCCTGGCTGGTGCGCTGTCAGAACCCGAGACGCTCCATCCGTCCGCACTGAGGCTTTCTGGCGAGTGCTGTTCCTGACGGCTGCATCACCATGGAAATGTGTGACACATTTGTTGATGAGTTGTCTGTTTCCAGATGGACATCTTCATTCCCAGCCTCTGAGAAATGTAACAGACCCCCCCTTTTTTTTTAAAGTATTTGCTTTGTACAAATTGTGGTTTATTGAAGGGTCTTGTTGGCTTTTTTGTTGTTCTTTTATACCACAATGGATTTTGTGCAGTGTGTTGTGTAAGTAATAATGATAGGTCTGGCTTTGTAGTCGTGGCTGTTTGTTTTTTCTTTCTTTGTGTTCCGCATCGGCCAGCCAGCCGTGGTTGTTAAGGACACGCTAAAACCTATCCTCTTTCTGAATTGATGATGATTCTGCCTTGATGTTTAAAAAAAAAAAAGCCTGTATTTGGGGTAATGCTGCTTTGAAAGTCATGTTGCCAGCGGGTTTCCCATTTCATTGAAGAAATATATTAGGAAAATATTAATAGGTTGTCTACTACTTTCAATTCACTTGCGTTCCCTGGAGGGTAAAAAAGCAAATGAAGACTGAATGTTGCTGGATGGCCCAGAGAGTGTGGACTGTGGGCCATGGCTTAGTGGGTGAAGGGAAAGGGACAAGGCAAGGGTCGCTCTTCTCCAGGACAGACCCTTGGCCATGAGGTGGGCAAAGTACCATCTTTCAGAAAGTTCTGTTTAGGTCCTAAAATGTCGTGCTTTCCTTGTGCTATCAGCTGGGGGGTAGGATCCTACAGACAGTCCTAGAAATCCACTGAAATTAGGTTTAAAAACTATATACGTGTGTGTATAATTTATATGTAAATAGAGACCAGAAGTAATTAAGATCACAATTTAGTCCAGTGAAATGTTAGTATTTATCCAAGTGAACCATGGTTTATAAATATTAATGCCCCAAATTGAAGTTAGGGAGGCTCATCTCTAGCTTTTTTTTTTTTTTAACCTTTATTTTTATCTCTGTGTAATTATATTGGAGGCATAATTTATCGATGTCTTTTTTTTTTTTGTAATTAACAAGTGCTTTTCTAACTTCTGAGTAAGTAATCCTTAATTAAATGTGTCCATTTTGTTCATTTACTTTCATTTTTTTCCGCTTAAAGCCAAATTGGAATGTGAAATTCTTCTGTGTTGTGACTGTGGATCGGAGCTCACCGATTAACTAGTTAATACGTTTAGGACTCCGTATTCCTGAAGGGCTCATTACTGTAACCTCACACTGGTCTTCCTAATTTCTTCAGAAAGAAGCAGAATCAATAACTACCTTGAATTGTCAGGTGGAAAAAAATAATTGGCTTAGCCATGAATACAGAATCTTTATTCAGATACAAGCAAACGTACTACTTTCCTAAGGATGATCATTTTGAGAAACATTTGAACAGTACAATTACTTGGGGAAATGTTACTTTAGCAGACCTCTTGGGGGAAGGAGGTAGTGTGTTGAGGGTTATTACATTACAACTTCCTGGACTGAAATGCAGACTGCCTTGGCGATAAACGTCTGTCTTTCAGGTAGACCATCATGGGCATTATTCCATGACTACGCTAGGCAACCGTCAGTTTGTTGACTGGTGGCATTTTCCGCTTGCACAATTTCTGTGATTTTTCCAACAAATTAAAGATGACTCGAAGTCACACCTATTTGGACCTTAGGGTTCCCAAGTCATTTCCTGTTGACGGGAATCTGACAGAAGCGTCATCGTCATTCCCAGACTGCTGCCCTGGAGAAGAACTGTAGCTGTATGTTCTCCAGAGTTTGTCCTGTGCTATATATATATATACTCCTCTGAGATTTATTGTACTCTCTCTGGCTGTTGGGAAGTCAAGATCCCATTACCTAGAGGCCCACGACCTCTCCAGTCTGCAGTGATATACCTGTGAGCTCCCTTAAATCCTGTGGCTCTTCATGCCTCTGACTGTACAGAGATTAAAGTGTGTGTGCGTGTGTGTGTGCGTGCGTGCACACACATATGCACACATATGTGTGCAGTGTATGAAGTGATTGCAGACTGCTCTACGTTTAATATGGGGATCACAAGTAGGAAAATTTCAGTCCTCTATTTTTGGTATCTATTTTTTGGTCAATTAAACTCTTTAGTCTTAAGCAATATTTCGTTTTTGCAAAAGAGGGAAATTAAGGTGTGTGTGTATTGCTGAAAGTTGCTGCCACAGGCATTTTGAACTAATGTTCTCATGGAGAAGAAACTTCCTTAGACCATTATGTGAAATGCCCTATTATGTGTCGGTTCCAGATATTCTTTAAAGGCAGAATAACTTCTCTTTCCTCTGCTGCCCTTTGCTCTCTGTGAAGGGACCAGGCATTGCCGTGTTCATTAGCTGCCTTCATGGTGCCGGGCTCTTTCCAATGGGCAGAGGACAGCACCTTCTAGAAAGAGGCTGGTTAAGCGTCTTCTGGATTGTTTCAAATGAACCACATCGAAGGCTGCAGGGAAAGGGCTCTGACAAATTACGCTCCTGGGGGCTTTTCTCAGTGACACTTTTCTACTGTTGTGAAAAAGTTATAAAATGTCTTTTCTTTTTTTGGTGCTCAGACGAGTATAGGATCAAACCGGTGGAAGAGGTCAAGTACATGAAAAATGGGGCAGAAGAGGAGCAGAAAATAGCAGCCAGGAACCAAGAAAACTTGGTAAGATTGCATTTCTCATATAACAATGAATTTTGGTGACACCATTGTAATAAAATCTGCACTGCCTGTTTCAGCTGTAACTTACACACCGGCACAAGATTTCTTGAAAATGCTGTTGCTATTTATAGCTTGCCTGGAAGCCACTCCATCACTCCTGTATCCTGTTTGTTCCTGAATAAGCCCTTTTTTAATCTCGATAGAGAACACTCCAGGGGGAAATATGGTAAAATTATTAGCATCTTAAAATGGTTAACTGTGAAGGAAAAGGCGTGAAGTAGGATTGAGATTTATTGCGGGGAGGACTCATATATTTTTCTTTTTCTCCACCTCTTCCACTCTTAGAATGAACAGCTAAGCTTCATTACTCAGGACACGGAGTGTTGTGGATAGAGTTGTCTTGGAGAGGAAAAGGATGTACTTTTAAGATAGGTCTCTACCATACTTGCATAATGTCCATTTCGGAGAGCAGGTCATCAATCCCCTGGATAGAGATTTCTGTAACTACTGTGATAACAAATTAATGTTGGAAGCAAGTAAAGTGAAAGTTATTTTGAAACAAACTTCTTTCTCAGTTTAATTCCAGTATTAAAATATGCTGTCCCTGAAGTTTCAAATATGTTGGAAGATATTACAAAATTATGAGGTCATAATGAATTACACTGAAGGCACCTAAGAAATAGTGCTTTAGAAGTTTCACATTTAATGGTACAATTCTTCTCTAAAATCTGAAACAAAATTAACCTAAATTACAAAACTGACTGACATTCTCTTAGCTTCTCTCTCTCTCTTTCTTCGTAAGTTATAGGCTGAGATCTCTCATCAGTTTTTTAATCTGAGCCTGGTTGGCCGTAATTTCTATTTTATACCACTTGATCTGTCACTCTGTCCAGCTCTGAATTTCATTTTCTAATTTACCTTCATAAATACAAATCCCATCTTGTCATTACTTTCTCCACATATCAAACCTAATGCTTAAAATAAAAATCTAAAAAAAAAAAAAATAAAAGTCTCTACCAAAATAGCACTTCACCTTCACAGTGTTAAGGGTATTGGGGCTTTTGGGTGAATGTGAGAGCTGCGGTGGTCTGAAACAAAGTTTTCTCATGCGACTCAGTAGATGTTATTAAAACTTAATGTTCCATCTCTGTGAAAACGTTTAGTTAATGCCGTTTTTGCTGATTTCTTAAAAAACGTTACAAACTGTTATGAATTTGCATTTATGCAGTTGTGTTAGAGCAACATGGTTTTTGCATTTGATTTGGGGGTTAGTTATTTGCTCTGTTTTTCATGTTTGAGTGGATGTATTTTTAAGAAGCTTGAAACGTCGTAAGGTGTTTTCTCTTGACTTAAACTCCTTTTTCCATTATGTGCTTTGTTTTTGTTTTTGTGATTTCTGCTACAGCAGAGGGAGAGGGCTGGTGCTCATGAGTATTTCAGGCTGTCATTTTCCATGATACGTTATTGAATATAACGGGCTAATTCTTTTCTCCTCTGTTCTTCTCTGAACATCTGATCTACACCTTGAAATACTGAAGTCACTAACAACTGAGTACTTTAGATCATTATGAAAGAGTGGAAATACTCTGTAATAAAATTTTGCTTCATAAATGGGATTTGGATCTTAACGTATTGCTTGAGTCACAGAAATTCATCATACATATGGTCTGTTTTTAACATTAGCACTTAGAGCTAGAAAACAGTAGCTACGACTAACAGTGGAAGTTACTGTGATCTGACTTTTTATATTCATTTTTTCTAACTTTGAGCGGATAAATAAATGACCCAAGGAGTTGAAGCCTCAACTGGTATTTTTCTGCTTCATTTTACTAAAGATCAGACTTTGTCCTTGCTTCATATAATTTCAGCTAGAGTTAATAAATCTCATCTTTAATATTTCCATTGGAGGTTGAAGAGACACTGGTGATCAGGCTGGCAGTGGTATTCCTTGGATCTAACACTGGAGTCCATCCCTGATTAGCATACTTGTATCTCCGAAACACTAAGGGAAGCAACGACTTATATCTTACAGTGTGCGACTTTTCCCTCAATGTGCCCTCATTGTATTTACAGCCGTTACTTTTTCCTTCTCTCCAGTTTCGCAGTCTCTCAGCTCCTTGGTGCTAATATATTCTTTTCCAGCACTTGGCCAAAATTGGCACAAGTGCTTTTCTATGCAGACTGAATGAAAATTCAAAAAGAGAGACATTTCTGGTGTTTTTTTTTTTTAACTTGTAGACTATCTGTGACAACACTCACACCCCTTGTCTGCCAACCAATCAGAGTCCAGACCACCAACATGAGTTTTTGAGTGTGTAAAGACTTGCATGGAGAAGGGGGAGTAAGTGGTTTTCTTTGATTTTGAGCTTTCTAGATAGCTTTCCAAAATTAAATGATTATTCAGTAGTCTGCTAGTATGTTATCTTTGTCATCTCTTCTGTCCTTTGGGAAGCATAGTCGAGTATGGACCTGGCGTGTTGTTTGAGAAAAAACAAATAGGTCTCTTAAATTTGAGGCTTACATTGAGGTAGATGAAATAGATGTCACAATTCTTTATTTTTCCATCCATTAAAATAATCTAAAAGACAAGAAGTTCTTGTTTTTACTATTTTTAGAAGCTTTCTTTTTTCTTTTAACTCAGACTGTTAAAATTAAGCGGCTCAGTAAACTCAGTCCAGATAGGGTGCCATGATGTTGACAACCATGGGCTCTGGAGGCAGAAACTGCCTGAGTTCAAATCTCAGCTCTGCCACTTGCTCAGTGTGGGATCAAGTTACTTCACTTCCCTGCACCTCTTGCCCATCAAGTGGGGGAAAGGCAGGGCCTCGTGGTACTGGGGGGCGAGGACTACATGAGATGGGCATTGTAGGGCTTGGAGTACAAAGTCTGGCACATGATAAGCACCTAGTATGAGTTAGGCATTATCATATAAAACTAAAGAAAAATAATGTTAGGGTCAGTGTTTCTTTCCTTTTTCTTTTGTGTTAATTGGTGAGAGATTTCTAAGTGAATATTTTAGGTTAATGCCAGTATTACATGTATTTTGAAAAATTTTGCTCTGGAACTGGGAAGTTATTTAAATAAATATGTTTCAATCACCTGTTATGTATAAGGCCCTTAGTTGTATCAAGAGACACAGCAATACTTAAAGTCACTGTCCTCAAAGAGCTTACAGCAAAGTTTAGAGAACAGTTCAGCTCCAACAAATATTTGATTGATTGCCTGTAGGTACAAGGCTCTGTACTAGACTCTGCCAAAAACACAAAATAAGGAAACTACTGACCCTTACCTTAAGGTACTTTATGGCAGTACACAAGGTAAATACCAAAGGACTATAAATAAAACAGGATTAAATGCATCAAGCAAACAAGATTGATTCCAAGAAGGCAATACGAAGTGCTGCTAATATCAAAGGAGGCAGCCATCCTGTCTGTTGGGGTGTCTGGACCTACTTCACGAAACAGCTGGTGTTTGTGGTCGGCCTCGAAGGATAGAATGAGGAAGGCTGGCCCAGGCACAAGTGACAGAGATGGAAAATGCAAGGTGTATTTAATGAAAAGTGTGTAGTCCTGTTTGATTGGGGAGTACAAGGGAAGAGGAGAAGGTGTCAGTAGGACAGCAGTGGGACATTACAACCAAAATGTAAATGGCGTATTATGTAAAGCCTTCAAGTCTAGCGGAGAGGTCTGAGTGAATTCCATGGATCGTAGGGAACTTGGAAGGTTTCAAGCAAAGAATGAGAGCATGAATCAGGAAAGTTTATGAGGCAGCAGTGTGTGTCGTATGAATTGGAGACCATTTATGATAGCTTTTGTAAGAGACAGAGAGCCTGAAGCAAGATGGTGGCCAAGAGAACAGAAAAGATTTGGACAAAGTTGCAGTAGAAGCAACAAGAGTTAACAGCTAATATTACAGACGTTAAAGGAAGGCAGAGGAATCGGAAGATCATAGTAATGCCCGTGCCAGCGGAGGGAAGAGGACTGGTGGATGTGAGAATAAATAATGACCCCAAATGAAATGGGAAAATCACTTAGGAAGATAAGGTGTGATGAAAATACAAGATGTTGTTTCCTTCCCTCCCTTTCATTTCATTCACCCTTAAAAAATATCACAGGGTAGTCCATGAGAGAGAAAGTGAAGCCACTGATCACACAGAAATGTCATGAGTCCAGTAAAGAAAGCCTGTACAGCCTGGGTCCTTAGACTCTAGGGTTTGGAGGACTCAGGTGCATCAGGCATGAATCTCACCTGAGAAAGCTCACTCTCCAGTAGCAGACCGAAGGCATGTGACCTGAATGACCATAAAAATCCAAGGCACACTGAATGCAGAGGTTGGTTTTGAGTAAGCCAAGCTGTAGGAACTTGCAGAACATCCGTGTGGGGGAATCTAGCAAAGGACAAAAATGAGGGTGTGGAGCTAGGGAGCATCGCCTGGGACGTGTTGGGTGTTCGTTGTGTTTTTGTTTGCTGGAATGGGTGGATGAGTGAGTGGACAGCAGTAGCTGGACCTCTGAGTGACAGCAGTTGGCACCGCTTAGTTCCTCAGGAGTGTTCAGATCTCCAATTGCTCAAGCCCTTTGGCCACCATTTCTATGGACGGAGGAGATTATGCTGCTTCTTTGAGGTTGATGAATCCTTTATGGGTCAGTCCTTTGTGTATCCTCAGTGCAAAGATGTGCATTTGTTCCAATTTTCATCATTGTTAGACATCTGTATATTCCACTTTACTTCTCTCAGACTTTAATTCCTTCTTCAGGAAGGTGATGTGAAATTGTTGCGTTGGCTTTGATCAGATAGAGCTATATCTCAGTCGAGAGCCGACCTTCGTTGTTTCTAGCTTTATCATTTTGGTCCAACATCTAAAACTTCTGAACTTTGACTTCCTCATCTGGGGCCTGGTAAGAGCAAAACAATTGACATATTAGAAGAAACATCAAAAAATATGTTTAGAATCTTAGCAAAGACCTAGAAAATGAATAGCAAAAGCTAAGAAAGAAAAGTAG